TCTTAGGAAGCTCAAAAGGAAGCTCCAGCAATACTAAATCAAATGGAAACTCAGTTCCAAATCTCAAAAGGAAGCTCCAGCAATACTAAATCAAATGGAAACTCAAGTCTACCAATACTAAATCAAATGGAAACTTAGTTCCAAATCTCAAAAGGAAGCCCCAGCAATACTAAATCAAATGGAAACTCAGTTCCAAATCTCAAAAGGAAGCTCCAGCAATACTAAATCAAATGGAAACTCAAGTCTACCAATACTAAATCAAATGGAAACTCACTTGAACTGGATCTCAAGATACTATTCCAGGTGCCCCATCGTTGGGCGGGGGGGGGACCCCCCTTTACTAATCCCGATTGGACATTACTGCGAGGAAAGTTCACCAAACATGCTTTCCCTCTTCCCAATTCTTGAGAAGCAAACAAAATCAGTCGCCAGGCATGCTCAAACCTGTGAGCAATCCTGACTCTGAGCCTTCTTGCTGGCCTTCCGCGCCACGTAGCATGCAGCGCAAGAGCAACAAAGCAGAACAAGGCCCAGCAGTGCATAGGCAATGTAAAAACCCCAAGGGGTAACATCCGGAGACTCGATGTCTCGCACACCATACAAAGGAACAGCTCTCTCCAGCTCTGCCAACAAGTCCAACAGAGCTGGCTCCATTTCCTGCAGGCTCTGCAAGGACGCCACAAACCTCGACCAAGCCAAGTTGACTCTCTCCCACTGCTTCAGCCTTAGCGAGATCACCGTTTCCCATTAAAAATGGAGATGCTTGTGGGAAACAAATGACGAAAGGCGTGTTTAAGCTTGCTCTCGAAGCCTGGCCAACTGGCCCAAAAAGTAATAACTTGCGGGTCAAAAGGGAAGGAAAGGGCAAAAGGGCAAAGGAAAAGGGTTCCTTCAATCTGGCAGCAGATCATCTCGTTCCGGGACGATGCCATTCGGCACATCTCCGCCGCCATCCCTGAGCTGCGACTGGGCTGTCTCAAAGTCTCGGATGGTGGCATCCATGTTGGCGCCCAGCGTGGCGACGTTGTAGACGGAGATTACCGCTTCTTTGGCAAGCCTAAAGAAGGTTGCATGCGAAGCGAGCGGCTGGGTACACAAAGAGGCATTCAAGTAAGCTTGTGTGGGGCTCTGTCGATCATAAAGTTCGAGTGTTTTGGAAAGTCAAGTTTGCAACAAACCATAATCTCATGAGTCAAATCATCAGTTGGATCGATTGTGTTTGTGAAAGCTAAAGTGGTAACTGGGAGGGGAGAATGGTGGGATCCGTTTCGCTTTGACCAGTGCCTTTGTGTTCATCGCCCAAGGTGCTTCTGCGCCAGCACAGATTGCCACATCGCCAATTGCACTCTCTGACCGGGCCAGGAGGGCTCCTAACGCCAAAACCTGTCCAAAGCCTGCCTGCACTTCGCACCTTCCGATGGAACAATTTCAGCGAAAAATCATGGGGACCCCTTCTTTGGAGAACCCTCCATTAAAGGGGCGCGAAAGGGAAACCAACCACGCATACTGGCCAGGAAAAAGGCGGACCCTCTATGACAAATGATGCCAATCACAGTAGCACCAGGTGTGTTCCACCAATAATGTGCCTATACGAGATGATTGTTTTGTGGAGTAGGTGTCTTCTCTTCTTTCTCCCCTCTGAGCATCCCGTGTCGCTTCTTCTCTTTTTTATCTTCCCCTTTTTCTTCCTCTTTCTCTTCCTCTTCCTTTTTCTCTTTCGCTTTGTCTTTCTCCTTCTTCCTCCTTCTCTTCTCATCTCTTCTCTTCGATTTCTCTTTCTCGTGTTCTTTTGGTTTTCCTCTTTCTCTGTCTCTTTCTCTTCTCTTTCTCTTTTCTTTTGCGAAAGTGCGGCCTGCGACGAAATCTGTCCTTACTTAACCTTACGAAAGTGCTGCGCCTGCCACGAAGTCTGCACTTTACCGTTCCAAAGCGCTGCGGTGCTGCGCCTGCCACAATTCAAACCTAGCGAATCCTTGCGCGCGGCCGTGCCATTGGGCAACTTTCCAGACCGCGGCGAACCCGTGGCGAACCCGCGCGAACCTGCGGCGCACCCGCGTCAAGAACGTGCGCTGAACAGAGGTAGTCTTCGTGATTTTGCCAAACACAATATGCTGCGTCTGCCACACAATTCCTTGCGTCTCTATCTCGTTCTTTGTATGTCTTCTTCGTATGTCTATTTCTGGTGTTTCTTGCTTACTTTCTCTCTTTCTTTGCACGACTCTGCTATTTCAACTTTCCGCAATACAGACGTTTTCCATCTACACCTCCTTTGATGATCCTACCAATGATGACACTAGACAGGCGAGTCGGCGGTCACTGAAACTGGCCCGCAACTTGGGCGACACATGCCCTGAAAATTCAAAAAGCAAAAACTAATATTTGAGGGGACCCAAGGACATGTTGACTAAGTTCTTGGGAACTTTAAGAGATTCCACCAATGGACCACAACTACACCTTTCTGAGATACCAAAGTGGAATTGTCAATGACGACTTTACGAAAATTCCCTTTGCAGCAAGCCAGTTTCCACAATTGTCTCCAAGGTTGGCCCGTGCACCGCAAGAAAGCGGGGATGTCATTCAGCCAAAGGGGCCCGAAAAAGTCCAAGGCCCAATCGCAAGCATAGGCCTAAGAAAACGCATTGTTTCGCAGACGTAAATACAAAGGACCTAGACCTCCCGTGCAAAAGTTTGAGGCCCTCACATGGCGGAAGGTTTTAGGGTTGATTTTTCCGTTCTGCCTTCTGCCCTTCAAACCTGGGTCCAAAGTGACGCTTCGCAAAGAGATTTTGAGAACCACTCGAAACTTGCTCGATAAGTAGGGAATGAGGGAATGGACCTAGGGACTCCCCTAAAGGAAACCACCAGTCGGACAGAAGAAACACAAGAAACCGATCTTTACTCTCTACCATATGCTGAGGCAAGAAAAATATATCAACATTGGAAACAAAATCCGTCTAATGATGGCATTTGTAGTTCTGAATCTGGGATATTCGCCTTCTCGAACACCTCATTTAGGTACTTTTCCCGAAAGCATGGCAAAGGGTTCTTTCGTTGGATTCATGGGTATCATCATGAGAGTCATTGCAAAGAGTTATCATCGTCAGAGTCATTGCACAGAGTCATCATCATCATGAGAGTCATTGCAAAGAGTTATCATCGTCAGAGTCATCATCATCAGAGTCATTGCAAAGAGTCATCATCATCAGAGCCATTGCAAAGAGTTATCATCATCAGAGTCATTGCAAAGAGTTATCATCATCAGAGTCATTGCAAAGAGTTATCATCATCAGAGTCATTGCGCAGAGTCATCATCATCAGAACCATTGCAAAGAGTCATCATCATCAGGGGCGTTGCACAGAGTCATCATCATCATGAGAGTCATTGCACAGAGTCATAGCAGAGAGTCACTTGCGAGGAGCAATGCTCGTGAGAGTCACTGGTGAGGAGCAATGCTCATGAGAGTCACTTGCGAGGAGCAATGCTCGTGAGAGTCACTGGCGAGGAGCAATGTCATGAGAGTTCTCACTCATGACGAGTTTTAAATTCCTTTTTTCTCTTCTTAGGCGGCGGGGTAGGGCCGACAGCACTCTACGAAAATCAACCCTCTGCGGAGATTCGTGTGGTCGAGGTCAGAAAACTGAGGACGTTTTACGATTTCTGATCTGTGAGAGCGACCCTCTGTGGTCGAGGTCAAAAAACTGTGGGCTTTTTACGATTTCTGATCTGTGCGAGCGACCCTCTGCGGAGATTCGTGTGGTCGAGGTTAAAAAACTGAGGACTTTTTATGATTGCACAGAGTCATCATGGGAGTCATTGCACAGAAGCATCATGAGAGTCATTGCACAGAGTCATCACAGCCATTGCATAGAGTCATCATGACAGCCATTGCATAGAGTCATCACACACGAGTCATTCAACGGAGTCATCGCGAGAGTCGTTGCACAGAGTCATCATGAGAGTCATTGCACAGAGTCATCATGAGAGTCATTGCACAGAATCATCATGAGACTCTCATGATGACTCTGTGCAATGACTCTCATGATGATTCTGTGCAATGACTCTCATGATGATTCTGCGCAATGACTCTCACGATGACTCTGTGCAATGACTCTCGTGATGACTCCGTTCAATCACTCTTGTGTGATGACTCTATGCAATCGCTGTCATGATGACTCTGTGCAATGACTCTTGTGTGATGACTCTATGCAATGTGTTGCTCGTGACCACATCGAGCAAAAAACTTGCGCGGGAATGATCGCCGGGCTGTGATGCGTTCGGGCCAACCGTGGTCTAGTTTCTGAATGTAAGAGAATAAAGATCTTTAATAGGGGTCATTCCAATTCTCCTTCCCTACTTCTTGCAGCAACAAGAAAAGGAAGTTTTCAACCCCCCCCCCTTTTTTATATCCCCTTCAAAGCTTCAAAGGGCGGCACGGCTTGTCCAACCGGGCGGGACTGCCAAAGTTTGATTCCACTTAAAGGAAACCTCCAGTTGGATGGCGTTTCTCCTTCCAATTCTCATTCCCTGCATCTCGCAGCACGAATTCTGCCGGCTGGGCTCCTGCTGCAGACCCTCCCCGGTGTAGACCCGCAGCAGCGCCCGGGCGACCTCCAGCAGCTCGCCGGCGCGGCTCTGCGCCCGCGCCACGGCGCCCTCAGCCACCGCGGAGGCCAAAGCGTCCACCGCGGGCGCCGCCACGTCCAGGATGCGCCTCCAGCCGTGGCTTAGTACACGGGGAAAGTGTCGCAAATCCAAAAGGGGACATCCCAAAACCACGTGCTTTGCAAGGGGATCACTACATCAAGTGAGTCATTCTCAAAACCTGGTACAAAAATGGTGAACCCAGAACCATGCAAGGAATTGAAAAGGCGGCCGCACCTATTTATGGCTGGGATTGTCCCTTACAAAACGAGAAGGGGACTGCAAGTAGAGTTACCAAAAAACCAGACAACAACAAGGTTGCAAGATCAACTTGGGGCGCGCGAGCACATGCTTGGAGCACAACTCTGTTTCTTTGACGCATTGGGAGGGACTTGGAACAGGTGTAAGCAGGTTGTCACAAGGGGTACTAACCACTGACTGAAGTACCCTGCCCCTAACTAGAGCTTCTGAGGTTCAACCCCTCAGTAGGGATTGTACACAACCTTGAAAACAATCAAGGTTTCTGATAAGGTCTTCCCAAATAACGCCTGCCCTAGTGAGTCAGAACCAGTGCTACTACTCACTGGTTGAAAAGGGGCCCTTAGATTTCCCGTTGAGCGGAAATCTACCATCACCTTTGGAAGGGTCCATTCAACATAGGTTTCCTCGCGTAAGAAATAAAGGAACGTCTTGCCATGCCTCTCTTTGATACCATGGTGGAAACCATTATTTGCTGGTATTTACAGGGGAATCATCTTAGGTGGTGCAAAACGGATTTCGTCCATCCACAGTATGGGCAATGGCTCGCCTCTCAAGTACACCAACTCCTACCACATCAAATTCGTGACTAAGCAGTGAAAAAAAAAACGTCCTGAATTGCACGTGTTCACTAAGTGCAGAGGACATCTTTTGAGATAAGGAGAATCTGCAAGCAAGCAAGCAAGCAAGCACGCACGCACGCGCAAGCAAGCAAGCAAGCAAGCAAGCAAGCAAGCAAGCAAGCAAGCAAGCAAGCAAGCAAGCAAGCAAGCAAGCAAGCAAGCAAGCAAGCAAGCAAGCAAGCAAGCAAGCAAGCAAGCAAGCAAGCAAGCAAGCAAGCAAGCAAGCAAGCAAGCAAGCAAGCAAGCAAGCAAGCAAGCAAGCAAGCAAGCAAGCAAGCAAGCAAGCAAGCAAGCAAGCAAGCAAGCAAGCAAGCAAGCAAGCAAGCAAGCGGATTCACCGAGGTCACATGGGAATGGCAAAGTTCGAAGGGTTGGACAATTATGAAGAGATCTGATCCAGTGCCAGATGAACTCCGCATGCAGTGCCGATCGAGGCAACTCGCATATCCCAGCTGTGTTGAAAACGACTTTCCTTTCACGAAGGGTAGCGTGTGATTTCATTTGGATGTTGTCAATTGGCAAGTTGTAGGCGTTGTTGGGCAACTTGGGGCATATTTTAATTGGATGTTGCCCATGGCCTCAGTTGCTGTTTTGGAGGCATTGTCCGTGGGTTTGGGTTGTCCATTCTCGTGGATGTTTCTCGTGGGATTGGGCTGATTTGTTGCGTCTGAATGTTGTCCGTAGGTTGGGTGTCATTTCGCTGAGACGTTGTCTGTGGGCTTGGGCTGTTTTTTCTTGTGGGCTGGGGCATTGAGTGCTGTCTATGTCTCTATCTAACGCATTGTGTATGTATAATATATATATATATATATGTGTACATACAGAGAGCTTGGACTGACTTTTCCTCTTGCACGTCGTCGGCGGGCTTGGGACAGATTGTCTGCTTTGGATGTTGTACATGGGCGTGGAGCGCATTTCTTTGTGCTGTCTGTGGTCTTCGTGCGCGCTTCTTCTAGCAAATGATGTTGCCTGTGGGCTTGGGGTGTGTACCCCAACTTACGGACGGAAAGTTAGAATAGATGTGAGTCTCCGCGGGCTTCCCTCAGCATTGTACGGTTGCATTGACAGTTGCAGTTGGATTGTTAGTGACACTTTGTCGTGCCCCAACACCTACGTCTAGATTCTATGCGTCGGCAGGCAGCTTTAACAGTGGCAGCATTCTTGGAAACCCCTGTACCAGGGCACCTCCAAACATAGGGGAGCCCCAAACACCTTGTGAGAGTCCCGTATCTGGGGCCGCAAAGTGAAATATTCATAGAAATCTGTTTTATGGCATCTCGGACGGGCTGACCTGTGATAGTCCGGGCTTGCATCGCCAGGCCTGAAAAGCGCCTGGGTAGGCTGCACCGGCACCATGTTGGGGAAGCCCAGTATCAGCCGCTCCAGGGACGCCCGCAGCTCTGCCAGACTCACCGTGAGGTCTCCGTCGAGGCCCTCCTGAAACGGCTGGCTCTGCTGGGCGGTGTAGGGGGTGGGTCAAGGGGGTTGGGTCGAGGGGTGGGTTTTGTTGGTTGGGTTTCAAGGGTTGGGTTTCAAGGGTTGGGTTTAGGGCGTTGGGGCTACCCCAGCACGGAAAGACACACCTCAACCAAGGCCGGGAAAAAAACCAACACAGGCCACAAAATCGGAAAGTCGGAATTCCATGCAATACACCTCAGGCCATGCTGCTGTTTTCAAGATCCTAACTCGTACCAACTTTTGTCTGTAGTCTATACAAAAACCCTCCCACCCAAAAAAGTGGTTTAAAACGGGCATTCAGCTGGACCCTCACGGAACCGTCGCCTGCGCGGCCACCATGGAGCTCATCACGCGCTGGCTGAGCTGTGCCAGCCGCGTCACCTCCGCCATGAGCAGCGTCCAATCCGCCACACCCAGCGTGAGGTTTTCGCACACCTCCCACTGTCCTGCGGCAGACCCCAGGTTTTACGCGGAGAAGTTTCGCGGCGGGTTCCTTAGAATGGTACGCCTCTCTAAGGAAAGGACAAAAAGGAAGCTACCGGTGTGTTTGTTTTCTAGTGCTGGTGGCTTCGAACGCCAAAAATAGTTGGTGTTGGAAAAACAGAAAACACCAAAAGCGTGATTTACTTGTAGATGGAGCGGGTAGACAAGGAAAACCCAGTCCATGTTGCCTGGGTGGCTTGATGTTGGTTAGAATGCATCTGCTTCGTTTGGGATTTGGAGGCTTATGTTTTCAGCGAACAGACAAAAAGGCAGGTGTGTTGTAACTTTGTTACGTTTGCTTAAGATGCTGCATGTTTCTGGCCATTTGTTAGGTTGCATCCTGGCGCTAAGGCCATGTTTCCGCGGTTGTTGCCGCGACTGCCCCGCCCACACTCCCTTCAAAGCTCGCCCCTGACAATACTAACTTATGACAATCTACTTCTTACTTACTCCATTTCTGCCTGCTTTGCCGGGCCTGGCTTCGAAGCTTCTGCCCCCCCCCCCCCCGTTTTTGCCGGTGTCGTTCTTGTTCTTGTTCCTGTTCCTCTTGCTATTCCCGCACGTGCTCCTGCACCTGTTCCTGTTCTGTTCTTGTTATCTGTCTTGCGCAGGCTCTTGTTCTTGCTGTTGCTGTTGCTGCTGCTACTGCTGTTGTTGCGAGTGCTGTTGCTGTCACGCCTTGCTGTTGTTGTGGTTGTCGGTTGTTTGTCGGATGCTGCTTGCTGGAGGCGGTGGCGCTGGTTGGTGTGATTGCTGTCGTTGTTGTCGTCCCTAACTTTGCTGTCATTGTTCTCGTCGGTGTCGTTGTGGGTGTTGTTGGCATTGCTGCTGCTGTTGCTCTTGCTGCTGCATCTGCTGATGCTCTTGTTGGAGAGGGCGCTGATCGATCGTGCTTGCTTGCTTGCTTGCTTGCTTGCCTGCTTGCTTGCTTGCTTGCCTGCTTGCTTGCTTGCTTGCTTCCTTGCTTGCTGGCTGGCTGACTTGCTGGCTGGCTTGCTGGCGTGCTGGCTTGCTGGCTGGATTGCTGGCGTGCTGGCTTGCTGGCTTGCTTGCTGGCTTGCTTGCTTGCTTGCTTGCTGGCTTGCTTGCTTGCTTGCTTTCTTGGTGACTTGTTTGCGATTGTTCGTTTGTTTGTTTGTTTGTCTGTCTGTTTTTTTGTTGTTGTTTTTGTTTGTGTGTGTGTTTGCTTGTTTGTTTGCTTGCTTGTTTGTTTGCTTGCTTGTTTGGTTGGTTGATTGGTTGGTTGGTTGGTTTGATTAGTTGTTTTGTTTAATGTGTACTTTTCTCGTTTGTTGTTGTTTGTGTTGCTTGCTTCGTTTGGTGTGTATTTTGTTTGCTTTGTTTGTTTTGTGTGTCTTGTTCGTTTTGCTTGGCTTGCATGTCTTGTTTGTTTTCATTGTGTCCTTTGCCGTGTTTGTGTTGTGTTGATTGTTTTTGTTTGTGTGTTGGTTGCTTTGTTTGTGTGTTTCGTTTGTTCTGTGTAGATTGTATTCTGCTTGGGTGTGTTGCTTCGTTTGTTTGTTTGTTGTGGTTGTTGTGTGTTGGTGTTTTTGTTCTAGTTGTTTTGGTTTGTGTGTGGTGTTTGTTGGCTTGTTTTGTGTGTTGTTTGTTTTGTTTGTTTTCACTGTCTTGCGTGCCTTGCTTCTTGTTTGTACTTGTTTTTCAGGATTGCGCTGTTTGTTGTGCTTTGTTGTGTGTTGATTATTCTATTTGTTTGTCTTGCTGGTGTGTTGGTGGTGTTGGTGTTGTTGTTGCCGTCGTTGTCGTTGTTGTTGCTCTGTGCATGCCCACAACAACCATCACGAAGGGCAAAGAAGAGAGGGGGAAGGCTGTGAAAGTTGAGCTCTTCCTGTAAAGAAAACGTTGGCTCTTATCACGAAAAACGGATTCCCTTCGAATCACAAGCGGGATCAACACAAGCTGCCCTGCGGACACTGAAAGGAGAAAAGGACAGCGCGACCCAAATTTTGGCGTTCCCCGTTGAGCACGCAAACCTATTGACTTTGGTAAACATACTGTGGATGCACGAAATCCTGCACCACCCAAGAAACCCTGGTGTCTGATGATTCCCCCGTATATTACCAACAAACGTTCTACGGTTTCCCCTGGTTTCCAAGCGCTGCGACTTCTGGATCTCCTCCATCCGGTCTGCTTTCTCCTCCCCCGAAATCGAAAATTTCGACCTCGGAGCTACCCCCGTCCTTCGTAGAATCGCTCCAGCCCGTGGGAGGGCGCCTCCATGTCGCTGTGCCCCCGGGAGCTCAGCAGGTTGATCTCTCTCACTTTGGACCCGTCCCCCCGCGCCACGGCGTAGCACGCCTGCGGGAAAAAAGGAGAAGCGAAAAAAAAACTGCCCGGGGCGCGGCCTGATATAGGGGCCCCAAGTTGGCTTCACTTGGCAAGCAGAATGCAAAGAGAGGATTCTCCAAGGCCAGGAAAAACGCGCGGCACACACACACACACACACGCAAGAACACAAGGCCACAAAAACACATGCACAAACGAACACACGAACACACGAACACACACACACACACACACACACAAACAAACAACACACACACACAACACACACACACACACTTTTTTACTTTCTTTCTCGTGCTGACGGAACAAATTCCTTACATTCGGATCCATGTATGGTTGAAGGGGTCACCCAAACTCCCTACCGAAGGCAAGATTCTGCCGATGCTCAGTAAGTGAATTCCAAGAGTTGGCCTGCGTTGGGTCCAAAGACTTGGTCTGAGACTCTACGTTTTGACAGGCCCAAATCGGGCCCTGAGCAGGCCGTAAATCGTGAAATGTCCAACTTCGTCGCAGCGACTTGCTGTATACTATGCTGAACAGGAGAAACTTGCGGGACCCTCCCTCCAGCGATCGGCATCAAAACCCTCCAGCGATCGGCCTGCTCCAACTCGTACCAGGTGTCGAACACTTTGCTCATCATACCTGCATGGCTTTCGGCACACTCCGAAAACGGATGGGCGGCTTAGGGCAAGCAAACAAAAAATGCCCTTGTTGAATGGCCTCTATTTGTTTGCAGGGAAACCAAAGGAGCGCCAACCACTAAACGCAAGACCCAGCTGGAACATAGGGCACCTGCTCATTTGTCCACTCGGTTCCATCGCCTCATTTGGGGGTGTTTGTCCTGCCCCGTTCCGAAGGATCCATCTGGAGCTTTGGACTTCTGGTGGCCATCCGCCCAGCTCCCGGCTCCCGGCTTGCCCGGGGTTTTGAGCAGGGCCCCCTACGCCCTTTTTCTGTTGCGGGTGGTTTTTCTTCTTCTTGTTTTTTTTGGGGGGGGGTTAGGGTTTAGGGTTTAGGGTTTAGGGTTGGCGCCTGGGGTTCGAAAGAAGCTTCAATGGAAATAGGGAGTTGTCTTATGGGGGGGATTCCAAAAAGGTACCATCTCTGGAAAGTCCTGTCTACCTGGAGCGTCTGATTTTTTGAGGGTGCCCTGCTTGAGATCCGTTTAAAGGAATAGGGCTTCCCACCCCCCACCCCCAGACACACGAAAATGCACCTCTCTTCTGAACCGCCGGGAAAAAAAACAAAGAGAGAGGCTCCTGGCTTAAGACACTTCTCTCTCAAAGCCCGCGGTTTTTTGGGGGCGGCCAACGGGGCGCTCGAAAAAATGCGCTTCGCCCGGGCACGGGCGATGCAGACGTTGGTCACCGGCTTCAGCTCCATGACGCTTCCCGGCGCCCCCAGCACCAGGTCACGGCGCCTAAGCCCGGAGCTCGGGATGTGAGGGGACGTCTCTGGCTCCCATTTTGGGGTTTTCGGTGCACCCATTTGAGTCATTTTTGGTCTTTTTGCGGGGATTGGGATCTTCACTGCGGATACGATTGGAATTTTGACCCATGGCCATCCAAGTACCGAAGCGGGACGGGGCCAATCTGCTTCCTTTTTTTGGTTGGCCCGCGCATGCCAACTAACATGGAACATGTGCAAAGAGAATGACCTTCCAATCCCCGCTTGCTGCTGAGAGGGCACCGGCTCTCCCTTTGTTCAGCCCACTTAAGTTATGACCTTGGGAAGTGAGATGATTCGGGCAGGTCCCGTAGTGTTTTCGCACTTACTCAATTCGAGCGGTGATGGATCCAAGAGCAACAACATTTTTTTCCGCACAGATGAAACCACCAAAGAGGCCGGATAAATTGCAGGAACTGTCGCGAGCCAAATGTCAGAACTCCACCAGGGAACATGTCGGCCCATCTTGCGTTGCGGAAAGCTGCCTTGCCATTTCCTCAAGCCGTACCTTCCGACGGGTTCCTCAAATATGACACAAGTCCCGGAACATGCAAGTCATTGTCCGGGCGTTTACATGGACTTGGCTGCATTTGGATGGCTCATCCAAGCCTTTTCATGTGGAGCAGCATCATACAATCTGTATGTACAATGCATTGTGTGCTTTGTTGTGGGTGGGGGGACAATTTGTAAGTACGTGGCAACTGCAAGCATTAGGTGTCCGGTCGTAAATCAGGAGCTCCTTTTGGCTCGCGTCACCCCGTGGCGTGCTTTTGGTCGCTTGCCAAACGGAGTGGATGTGCCTGCAACAGACCTCCATGAAAGACCCGAGTGCACCTGGGGATCGCTATGCTTGGAAGTACGTAAACAGCCTCTGACCTGAGACATAGCCAAACAATGCGGCTTGGCTTGTCGGTAGATATCTCCGTGCGTTCATCGTCCTCGCCCCGAAATGAACCATCATTTGTGAAGCCCATCGGTAGTTTGCCGAGAACACGGACAACCGGAAACAAAGAGAAGGTACCCTTGATTCCCTCAATCACATCCAACCGCAAAATTCGGATAAATTGCAGTAAGCTTTGTGACGTCCGGCTCGTTCCCACTATTTTCTAGCCTAAAACAATGAACCCTCAAAGATCCCCCCAAGGTCTAGTATTAGTATGGGTAAACTGCCAAGCCTTAAGACCGAAGGCCACATGAGGCCTTGATGGTGGGAGGGGTCTTTGGGAGGGCTGAGAATTCTTGCTTTGCACTTCATTGGCATCCGCAGATTTGTCGGCGCCGCACTCCAAACCTTGACGCATCCCCCACCCGTTTCATCAGAGTCACTCCCCTTTTGGATGCGTTTCAGGGCGAAACCAGGAGGCAACCCAGCGTGGGTCCTGGTTAGTCTTGCCGCGGAACTCCCTTTGGTTGAGGTTTATCTTCGAAACAACTCCGCGGGTGCCATGAAAAAAGGCGCTTACCAAAAAGAAGCTCGAATGATACTGTGGATGGAAAAGCGAAATCCATTTCGCAGCATTTTGAAACCATGACAAACCATTGCTGGTTCGCATTTCCAGGGGGAATCATCGTTGCTCGGTGTCTTGTGGTGCGAAACGGATTTCGCTTTTCCATCTGCAGTATCAACAGCAAACCCCAAGGACTCGGATTTGCCCCATGCATCCCCAAAAACCCCTTCTCGAAACCCCGAAACCCCTAGAACTTTCAGCTGGTGGGGATAAAACGAGAGAGCAAAAACGACGTCAACGTGCATTTCAAGTGAGATAGGCTTCTATTGCCCCAGTACAGTAAAAGGTGCCCTTACCAAAAAATGTTCAACTTACTGGTGGGCTCGAATGATCTACTGCAACTATTGGAGCTCCAAAAAGGCGGAAATCGAGAACATTCGCTGGACTTAAGGAGGTAAGGAACGTAGTAAGTGGCTAGTAACCTGTTTCTATAGAATAACAGGTGGAAGTGCCAAGTTCCACTACTTGGTTCTTACCCAACAAAGCAAAGGGAAATATTAATAAGGAAAAGATATGTAAATAATTGTAAATAAAAGATAAAAAAGACAGAGATAATAATTTTGGGGTTTTAATGTAATGCTTTTCTGATGTCCATGAGATAGCTATTAAGATGTAAACAAAAAGACAAAGATAAGATAGAAAATGAAAGATAAAGATATATAAATATGAAAATAGAATGATAAAATCCTTAAAGAAATTCCAAGATTTTAAAGTAAACAAGAATGAAGAAAGAGATTAATGACCGATGATATCCCTCTCTCTCTCATTTGGAGTGTTTATTGGTGTTCAAGTGCTTGCCTCATCCTTTCGCCAATCCAGATAACACTCCAAACAGAGAGGGATAACATAGGAAAGGAATGGCAAATATAACTCAAGGAAATGTAATCCTAATACCCTGGAATTGCACCCGCAGGATCATCTACTGGAAGGGAACCCAAGTGGGGGGAAAAAAAACAGAAGCCGAAGTTGTGAACTTCGAATTGCGTCCGGACCGATTCTTTTGGGGGGTTCTCTTGGGACTCCGCTGCGAATCTCGCCAAAGCACATCTGGCGGAAGGAGGTCACCGTGGCGTTGAGATCCCGCCAGGCCTCCTCCACGTGAATGCCCAAGAGGATCTGGTACGCCTTCACCTTCCCCGTCACTGAATGGGTGTTTGTAACCCTAGCAACTCACTTACAATGGTTGTAAGTTTTCTGTAACCAGCATTACTGGAAATTTCGCGATCCGTGCGGATCGGACCTAAGCAGCACCCGAATTGATGTCGTCGGTTTCGAAGTGTTCCGGAACGAAACCATTTGCCCAAGGGTGAAACAAATCCCCAAAGGAGTCCAAAGGAAAAAGCACGATCTCAGATTGGGGCTGCATAGGAACTTCACTTACACAGATATGTGATTTGCCAAAAAACGGGTTGTACTGGCCAGGTCCAATGTTTTGAAATCGCCCTGTTTTGGATCAGTTGCCTTCCCTTGACAGCCCAGATGTCAAAGACCTCCTCAAAGGCACAACAACAAGCACTTCCTGGAAGGCGTCCTTTTGAAACGGTCAGTCACAAAGTTTCCCTTCCTCCCACTAACATAGCATTTGGGAGATTACCTGGAAGATCACTGGAACGTGCTGGCGGGATGGGGCGGGGGGGTGCTTGGCTGCGGTTTTTCGTTCTGGTCGCCGCTGGTCGCCGCGGGTCGCCGCGGGCACTTGCAGCGATTGCAGCCTATGCATACTTTCTCCTGCTCTATGCCAAGGAATTGGGCGGATAAGGGCCCGATTCCCAGGCAAGCGGACCCTTTCCGGCTTCCTTTGGCCAACATCCCGTTCGCAGGCTAACCAGTTGAGCCTTAGCGCCTCCATCCTTCAGTGGCTCTCAGGTTTGAAGAATTGGTCAGGGACTCAACCATAGGTGTCCTTTTAGGGGAAATAGATGGCCCTGGTAGATGATTTAGCCACCAGGCAAACCAGGGCCATCTGTTTTTCTATCAAAACAACCAAAAAGGACACCTATGAACTCAAGCAGCTCCAGGGCAAAACCAACGAAGCGCAGAGGTTTGAAAGTCTTAACCCCAAGCTGGGCGACGTTTGGGCCAAACGAGTGGAAAGCAGACTTTGAGCAACACACTTCAAGCGCTGGCCTACGAAAGCCGCCCTGGTTTGAGTGGCCGCAGTTCTGCAGTTCTGCAAGCAAGTTCCATAGGAGGACCCTGGCCAACTACCATGTCAACGATCCTTATAACATCACCAAAGAGACCAACAGGTGAGGTTTCAGTGCCCCCCCAACCAAAAAACTAAAGGGAGGAATCAGGACCCCCCCAAACCCCTCCGACTCTCGCCCACTCTTGTGTGCCAAGACACCGGCAACTGGTGGAAGCGGAACCTCGAAGCCGGTTTGCGAACCGTTAAGTTGGACAGAAATTCCACAATCAGGGGGCTATTCCCGAATATGCCTAGGATAGGCCAAGGATAAGGCGACTTATCGGGTTAATAAGGGATACCCACCCCCACCCAAAGCCCCCCTTTTGGGGTCCACACAAATGATTGGCTCCCTGTTTAGGCGTCCGTAACTTGCGAATGAAAATCGAATCGCTCCAAATCAAATCCGAATCGAATCCCAGGTTCAAAGGAGCTTGTACCCTGCCCCCACCCTAACAGTGGATGATGCAAGTTTGGATCAACCACCACTAAAATATGGTCTTCCGGAAATTGTGGCGTGATTCTTAGTGGTTTGGGGCGTCCATTCCAAGCCCCCAAATGGGCGTCCGCGTCCTTGTGCCCCCCAAACTGCCCAAACCACCGGCTCCGCGTCTGAAGCTTTTGCGACGGCAAAAATCCATCGGGCCAGGAAAGTCCCAGGAGTTTTTCCAGGCGCAAACCAAAACGCTTGGAGGATGTTTGTGGCGCAGCGCAAAAAAACAATTGGCCGAAAGTATGTCATCTACCTTCACTGGTGCCAACAGGAGTCCACCAAAATGTGATGTTCAAGATATGTTCACCCACACGGGATCAGACATCGCTGCCAGCTTGCTAAGCAGGCTGTCTGGCTTCATGCCAAACCCACACCTAACAAAAAGTGGCCCAAATCACAATGGAAATAACCCCGGGAGTCCGCCGACCGACCCCTTTGCAAAAGCCAAGTTAGAGGGGCGAGGCGTGTTCTACTTGGTGGTTAGGGGGAGTCTGATCCCCCGGCAGATTTTTGACACGCCTAACCTCTAACCCTAACCAACCTCTAACCCTAACCTTTAACCTTAACCTCTAACCCCTTACCTCTCACCCTAACCTCTAACCCTAACCTCTAACCTTAACCTCTAACTGTGAGGATGGATGATGATGATGAAAGACTACGGGAAGATGACGGAAGACTATGGGAAGCTGACGGAAGACTACGGGAAGATGACGGAAGACTACGGGAAGCTGACGCGAAGATGACGGAAGAGTGCGGGAAGATGACGGAAGACTACGGGAAGATGACGGAAGACTGCGCGAAGATGACGGACTACGGGAAGATGACGGGAAGCTGACAGAAGACTGCGCGAAGATGACGGAAGACTACGGGAAGATGACGGAAGACTACGGGAAGATGACGGAAGACGGAAGATGACGGGAAGCTGACGGAAGACTACGGGAAAATAACGGACGGAAGACTACGGGACGGAAGACTATGGAAAGATGACGGGAAGCTGACGGAAGACTACAGATAACAGAAGACAACGGGAAGATGACGGAAGACTATGGGAAGCTGACGGAAGACTACGGGGGGAAGATGATGGAAGACGTGGGAAGATGACGGAAGACTACGGGAAGATGACGGAAGACTACACGAAGATGATGGAAGACTACGGGAAGAGCTGACGGAAGAGCTGACGGAAGACTACGGGAAGATGGCGGAAGACTACGCGGATGACAGAAGACTACGAGAAGATGACGGAAGACTACGAGAAAATGACGGGAAGATGACGGGAGACTACGGGAAGATGACCCTAACCCCCAACCTCTAACCCTAACCTCTAACCCTTAATCGCTAAACCTTTAACCTCTAACCTCTAACCCTAACCTCTAACCCTAACCTCTAACCAGAACCTCTAACTGTGAGGATTGATGATGATGATGATGAAAGACTACGGGAAGATGACGGAAGACTATGGGAAGCTGACGGAAGACTACGGGAAGATGACGGAAGACTACGGGAAGCTGACGGGGAAAAAGACGGAAGAGTGCGGGAAGATGACGGAAGACTACACGAAGATGACGGAAGACTGCGGGAAGATGACGGAAGACTACACGAAGATGACGGAAGAGGACGGGAAGATGACGGGAAGCTGACGGAAGACTACGGGAAGATGACGGAAGACTACGGGAAGATGACGGGAAAATGAATGACGGAAGACTACGGGAAGATGACCCTGACCCCCAACCTCCAACCCTAGCTCTAAGTTGATAAGGATTATATCGCTCTACGACTCTCATCCTTACTCCTATTTTTAGCCAGGTCAGGTCTCTGGCTCTCATACTGCCTCCTGGAGGAAAAGGATTAAAACCATGTAGAAAAGTTAAGAGTGGGTAGAATGATGAAAAGACCGGATGAAAAGAGAGGTTGCCCATTCCACACCTTGGCAACACAAAACGAGCTCTTTTTGGGGGGTGCTTAATGCTGGACAACACCCCCAGCATTGCCAGCATCATCCCGGATGATGCGAATGATGCTATGCATGCTGGCGATGCGAAACAAGGGGCTGAAATTTGCAGAGAAGGAGTGACTGGAAGTGAGCAAAATGCAAGGGCAGAACGCGAAGGGAACCGGAATGGGAAACGAAGAGAAATTGAAGAGAAATGAAGGGATGTGCAGGAAAGTGACGTGAAATGGGAAGCAAGGTTGAAGTCGCGGGAACTACAATGAACTAAGGGAAAGGAATGCGAATGAAGGGGCGTTCAAGGAAATGAAGGGAGCTGAAGCGGAAATGAAGCGAAAGGAAGTGAAGGGAAATGCCAGGAAGAGAAGACATGCAAAGGAAGCAAAGTTCACATCCCGGAAGCTAACGGGAATTCAAGGAAAAGGAAATACAAGAACGGGAAGGGCGAGGTGCCCGGTGGCCGGCTGTGTCGCGTCAGCGTGTAAATCCGGCTACGCCTCCTGATTTGGTTTTTTGCTATAATGGCTGCACCCTGGTGCCGCCGACCCTCGTCACTTGGTCGTGATGCGTGGCCTAAATCCGGCACCTTTGCATCACCAGCTCGGGCTCGTGGTTTTGCTTGCCTGTGGGAAACCCTCGCAAAACATCGCGCATATGCAGGGTTTAGGCCATGTGGCTGACGTCATCAGGGTCTGGGGTTGGGCCTGGGTGATGCTTCAGCGGGGCTTGGTCTGCACCATCAAGACTTCCTTCCAAAAAGCCTCTCAACCCAAAAAGCACTGTTTTTTAGAAGGTATCGGGGAAATATATGCGAGGCTCATTTTCGCACATTTTGGCGCCAAGCGCTGCCGGGCATGCCGGCGATGCCGGGTCCTCACTCTACAAAACGCTGTAAAATACCGTTAAAAACTGCTGTGCTGAGCGGTGGGCTGTTCTTCTGTCCGTTTTCCTTTTGCTGTGGCTGGCTCGCGTGCTGCGCGGTCCTTGCTTTTTTCGCGTTGGTTTTCGGGCCTTCTGGCGCGCGCGCGCGCGCGACCCCAGCCACAAAACGCTGCTATTTACGGTGTTTTGTTGCTTTTGCGTTTCCGGGCTGGCTTGCGGGCTGGTCTTTTTGGGCTGCTGTTTCTGCGGCCTCTGGCGCGCGCGCGCGGCTAGGGCCCAGAAAGCTGGCATCCCCGGCATCATCTGGGGATGTGTGGGCAACATGCATAACCTAACCAGCCATATCATAGCACAGGATACGTTTCTCATACAAAAAACATGACATGACATGGTATAACTTCAAAGAGGCGTAGCCGGCTAGAGGCCGTAGGCCCAGAAAATAAATCTTGGTTGACCAACCCAAAGAAACCCCCAAACACCAACCCCCTATCCTAACCAAACCTGTCAAAAACCAGCCTGATATACAAACCCACAACAAACACCAAACCGTTGAAATGCACCGAAAAACAAACCACACCAAACCGAACCAAACCGAACCAAACCGAACCAAACCGAACCAAACCGAACCAAACCGAACCAATCCCCAAAAAAAAAGACGGGCCCCGGGCCCCCCAACCAGCCTGAACATCTCTCCCTGAACATCTCCACGCCCCCGCGGCCTAACAAAAAAACCAGCCTCAAACCTAGCCCACCCAACCAATCAAACCAACATCCAACCAACCAACCAACCACCAACAAAACGGAATGCAACATCCCAGCCGCATCCCTCCCCGCCGGATCCCTCGCGCATCCACACCCATCCCGCATCCGCGTCCCTCGCGTCCCGGGCGCTGCTGCCGGTGCGTGAGGTCCAGGATGCGGCTCTGCACGGTGGCCACGGCGGCCTCCGCCACGAAGAGCTCCTGACAAAAGGCGACCGGGGCGACCGGGGCGACCGGGGCGAGCGGCGAGGCCGGATGGAACCCTCCAGTTGCTTCTTAAGTATCCGGGATGTGCCCGGGATTTTTATTTTATTTTTTTTGGTCCAGTAGTGAAATCGATTCCCTTTAAAACCAAACAGGGGAGAATGAAGTCAGGGGGTCTCGTGGTCAAGGTCATGGTGAAGGGAAGGAACCCAGCGGTTCCCATGGTGAAGGGAATGAACCCAGGGAATGAAAAACCAGCAGTTGGATGGCGGTTTTAAAGGTCATTCCAACTCATGCCCTGCTGGGCACCAGCAAGAAGATGGGTCCTTCGGTGTCCTGGTTTTTCCAAAGTGCCAAAGATAAGCCAAAATGCCAAGGACTTCACTAGATGGGGTTCTCAAGGTTTCCCCAGGAAAGCCAACGTTTGCATGCTTCTCACATTGAGGAGTGGCCCTTCCAGGTGGTATTTTTGTTTTGGTGTCGCATTGAAACCATCTAAGAGCTTTTTCATGAGACATACCCAGATGGTAAAATGGGGATAATATGCGGCAACTCGGGCACGAAGGCTTGACAAATCACGTCCGAAGTGCCAGAGGGCACTTTGACCTGCGGGTGCCCAGATTGGTCCTGAGAATCACTCGAAATTGGAGACATGTCACCACTCCGCCAGTTTGTGACCCCTGCATGCGAATGAAAAATAGCCTACACCAACTAGACATCCGTAAGCAAAGGACCATCGTGTGAGACTTTACATCCGCACATAAAACGGAGTAAAACCCAACATGAACAGGTTGCGCAGTCGACTTTCTTGCAACGCAATCCGAAGGTAACACGAGCTCACCCACTTGGATTGGAGGGCTAAGTCCAAAATATAGAGATACTCGGAAGCCTATAGTTGAATAACAGATTGCGTTAAGCAAGCAAGGCGCTGGAAATACGTTTTTTGCTTAAAAGTATTCCTTTTGGTGTACCCCTGAAGGCTTAGGTGAACAACAAAAAGAAAAATGCACCGAACCAATGGCGCACGACTCCGGCTTGGATGCCCCGTCCATGGCATCCATCAGATCTTCGAAGAGAACGTTGCCAAGCAGCAGCCCTCGCAGCACATCCACCTGCCGCATCTCACGAATAACATGCCCATGAGAGCGAGACCTTGAACCTGTAGCCCGGTATTGTATGTATTGTTAATAAATAATACATACATGTGCAAAAAAACATATGTAAACAATGTATGCATATATGTATGTTCACAATACATGTATCATACACAACAATATGTTGTCCCCTCCCCTTCACCAGCAAAAAATAGGAGCTCACGAGTTGTCATGTGGATTGCTGCATTTGCATGCCATCCCAAACAGGAAATGTTGGTTTAATTGGGGAGAGTTGCAAATGAGGATGGGTGGACAAACAGACTAGTCCCTGCTTTCAGATGGGTACATCTGTCCAAATTTGCTGGATCCGGAGTCAGTGAGTTATATAAGTCTTGGCAAGTCAGCAACGCAACATGCTGGCATATGAGTGGAAAGTGTGTGTGTGTGTGTTTCTTGCAATGCAGCCTCAGTATTGCGGTAGTAGGACTTGTGTGTTCATTGAAGAATAGCATGGAACAAGTATTGCTTATGATCGTGGCATTATTAGCTTGAGCATGGGGCTGTCCAGCTTGGAATCGGCTTTGTATCTGGCCATTTGTGTGTTCCTAGTCTTGTTAGTGAACTCAGTACTGGCGTACTACTACTTTCGTATGAATTGAGTATTAGTATGGGTAGGCATTACTTAGAAGTCTAGTAGCAGTATGACTTTGCGCATTGCTGCTTTTAGTTTGGAAACAGCCGTGTATTGGTTCATTTGTGTGTTCCTAGTCTAGTCTCCTGGATCAGTAGTGCTTCACCCGGAGTTCACCTTGATAGCTTTTGCTTCGGTCTAGTCATCAGTTCAATAGCAATCTAGTTTGGATTGAATCCTGATGCTTCAATCTAGTGCTTCTGCATGCGCTTTCTGGATTCTCTTCACTTCGTTGGCTCACGTCACCCTGCTCTCAGACGCGCAGGTCCTTCGCAGACTTCGCAGATGAGCAATCGGAGAACGTGCGATGCAAAATTTAAAGCTAGATATGTATACATATATATATATATAAAGAGAGAGAGAGAGAGAGAGAGAGAGAAAGAGAAAAGAAAGAAAGAAGCTATCAGTGCAAAAGCTACAGTTCATGAAGTGAGGTTTTCAATATCCACTATCCCTCGCCTTGGGCAGCTCATCCTGCTGGATGGCCTCATCCAGGCCATCGGCCAAGTTGCTCCAGGCCTCCCGCGCGTGGATGACCTGGCCGAAAAAGCCGGGGAGGAACCTGGGAGCCAGGGTTCTACCTTTTGCCTACCCCCAAAAAGAGCTAAACCCAGGGGTGGTGGATTTCCCTCAAGGCAAAACTACCTTGGAGTAGAACCCTGCTGGGAACCCTTAGCACGAAACCTGGGAAGTACTTGCCGGTGCTCAGGGAAGGAGGGAAGGAACCCAGGCTTTGGCCGAAAAAGCGGGGGAGAACCTGGTAGAAGCCTTACTGTGGATGGAAAAGCGAAATCCGGAAATCGCACCACGAACTGAAGCCATGGTTGAAACCATTTGTTGGTATTGACTCTTGACAGGGGTCATCATTCTAGGACTTCTTAGGTGGTGCAGGATTTTGTCCCACAGTAGCACGATTCTGGGAACTACTTGCTGGTGCTCAGTTTCAAATGATAGAAGGAACCCAGGCTTTGGCCCCGAATAAAGGAAACCACCAGTTGGATGGTTTACGAGTCAGTCCAACTCATTCCAGCAAGAACCCTTCGGGTGGCAGGATCGCCGCTCCGAAACCTCCTGCAGGGTTCCCAACGGGTTAGGGTCGTGACCTGGCCGCTTCAGGGCCCTCTCAAAGGGGCCTCTCCAACACCGCGTTTGAGGCACGAGGGCCCTTGTGGCTATGTGGGAACCTGTCTTTGGACTCTTTACCCATAGGCCTTCCAAATGACGAATTTGCCATTTAATTTAAAAAGGAAGTGGGAGAAAAAAAAAACATTGCTTTCACAACCCTGCTTAGTAGAAAAATGCTCATTTCATTCTGGAAGCACCTTTGCAGAACACCGGCGGGTTTGTTGGGAACAAAAGAAAAGGAAGTCGACTTTGGGATCAGGAAAGATTAAAACCATGGGAGGAAAATTTTGTTTGTTGGATGGTGGTTTGAAGGAACAGCTGAAACAAAGCAGGAACGACATCAATTTTCAGAACACGACGCGCTTTGGGAAAAGGTGCAACACACGTTGAGCAAT